AAATTTTTCTAAAAATATTTTATCAAAATTATCTCCAGGAATTCTATATATTGATACAAAGACCGAATTCCACTCCTTAACTTCTATAAATGACCCTTCAAAACAATATGGTTCATTCAGAAATTTCAAGTCATTTCTAATTTTGAAACTTAAATTTTTATCTATCATTAAACATGAGCCTCCTCTAGATTGATCAACTCTAGCATAAAAATCAGCAATTTTAAAATCATCTAAACTGTTTAATAAATTTATACATGTTGAATTTAGCCAATGTTCATTTAAAGAAATTACCTGAACCTTTCTTTGTTGACTTTCCAGGAAGAAAACTAAATCTAAATAATTATTTAAGAAGCCCTGGATATTAAAATGTAACAAAACAAAACTGTCATCAAGATTCTTTCCTAACTCATATTTTTTCTTGGACTCCTCAACCTGAACTACTTCTCTAAAAAACATTCTGTATTATTCCTAAGACTACTATTTACAATTTCACTCTCAAATACCATGGAATTAATATGTACAGGGGACTCATCTTCATCTTCACTCTCCATATCTTCACTCACTTCACCAGACTGACTTTTTGCACTGCACAATACACTTTCTAGTGGTTTGTTGGGCTGCATCGATGCTTCAGGCTGCATCATCGTTTTCGCTGCTGCAACATTCAAGACGTTAGCTGCATTGTGTTCCTCCGTTGGTCTTTGACATTCTTCAAGTTGATTTGAGATTTCATTATGTAATGCTGTGACAAACGCTTCATGTGACCGCCCCCTCCAAAGAGTTCTTTGTGCTTTTTGGTCATAAGAAACTATGCAGACCTCAGCACCAGTAGCAAAATGAAATCTTAGTAGGTTTTTAATGAAGTGACGAGGCTCAATCATACCTCAATCATATCATCATACTTAGAATATAGATCTATATAATTTCTCTTTAGACCCTTTTAAAGAGCTTAAAAAACAAATAATTTAGTATATACAAGTATTTTTGTTCGGTTATTAGTAACGGAGAAAATTAAAAAAATTGTAAATTTAAAATTCTTATGTTATTCTTATGGAGAGTATTGTCAAATGTTGTAGTTTGCTTGTTTATGGATATATTTTGATCAAACTTGGCAAATTTATTTATTTTGTATTACAATATCAACATTTTACTAAAAAATACACTTTATTAGTTTCCTTGTAGCAGCAAACCTAGGTAGGCTACTCGTTAAACCTAATGTTATCAAAATATATTTAATTGAAAATCAATTCAGACAAATGGAAATTCGCTTAGCCGACAGGTTTGCTGCGGCGGGGGTATTTAGTATATTCAAAAGGAAGATACATCTAGACATCTGTACCAAATTCCTTGATTATACTAATTTTTTGGGGGTTTAAAATAGATTTTGATTGAACTAAAAATATTTTCTGAGGGATTTTAATAAAACACAATCATTTGTTATTTTCGATATAATTTTGTTTAATTATAGGCCTACTTAACTTATACAAATTTAATTTCAACTAAAATAATAATCGAAAGTGCTATCTTTCTTTTTTTCTACTGTATTGCGTTTAATCATTCAACCAACTTTTTACCAGTAATAGGAAATCATTAAATTTCCAATTTTATCAGTGGTAAAACTTCGAGTGAAAAACTTGTTTAATATTTCATAAAAAATGAGGCCAGGTAAATCGATCTGTTCAAATGCATTACCTGATTGTTTATATATGACACTAACACCAGACTCGGAATAGGAGGCTATTAAAAATTTGTTTACTAATTTGAGATATATACGTCCCGGTGAATGAACATTATCACAATCAAGGAGTGTTAGAAGGGTTTTATTTTTCAGGCAGAAAATTTGTACAAAAGATTTATCTCCTGTAAAAATCAAAAAAATGAAGCTATTGTTAAAAGGTTCGACAGAAATAACATTATTATCTGTACATTCATATGAGAATACAATTTTTGAGGATAGATAGTCAACAACTACTGGCCCTTGACTACTTAAATAGGCTAAATAATGTTTATTTATCACACATTCATAAGGTTTGTTTATATTTATACCCGAAAGGTAACATTGCTGTTTTGGACTGTAGATATAAGCTATTACATCTTGATTTTCAGAGTTTTCAAATATAACCATTATATCATCACTCAGAGGTGAAGTCTGCATGATAACAATGGACGCATTTTCCACTGGACAAATTTCTTCATTAACTTTTACCCCCTTTTGTAAATCAAACACATCCAGTGAATTATTAATGCCTGTAGCTACACCAATATACTTGCTTTGATTGACTACCTTTGCAGCAAAAGAACCCCATGCATCGTTAAGCTGTATTTCATGTTCCAAAACAACACTTCGATTCAATAAATCAACATGGAAAACCTGAACACAAGTGGGTTGTTTGAGAACAAATGTACTGATTCCAAGCACAATGCAGAAGAGCCATCTATCTATATTAATTGCTTCGTCTGATTTCATTAAAAACACTGGAGGTTTAGGACCTATATCCCAAATCTCCAAATAGTTTTTACAATGAGTTAAAAGAATTGTGTCACTCAGATATTGGCACTCAGACAGTCTCCTAAGAAATCTTGGGCCAGGCAAATGTACTTTTTTCTGAGATGAAAAATTGTTCAAATTATTTTGGAGGTGAATCTCTCTCATGAATGCCAGTCTCCAATGGCATATTGGTGATGATGCCAGCTTTTCATCTTCAGGAATGACAAATGGTTCAACAGTGCATGGAGTGTTGCGTAGATGATCTTCTAGAGCAAGATCACAATGAGGCTTCCACAGAGAATCATGGTTGAAAACTCCCCGCCAACTGGTTGATACAGTAATACAGCTTTCCAGGTCTTGCGGCAACAGGTACTGACAGATATACTCCACCATCTCTAAAGGAAGTGATTCCATTGTTGTATCTGAAAATGTAAAAGATGTTTACATACGGAATTAATGATGGGCTGCTGATGGGCTTGGTTGTACAGTGAACACGATAACTCAAGCAATTGCAGACCCATTTGGACAAAATCTGGCACAAACAAGTAATAGTAGTATAAACTGTCATGTGTTTTAAAACAATCCTGATTACAGGATAGTGGTTTATAGGTAAAATAAAATGTTGGTAAAAATATTATATTTCACTACTAGTCACGAAAGTGTCCCATTTTGGTGCGAGATTATGTTTTAAATTTGAGTCGAAGAATGGGAAACACTATCGAGCCCCGAAATAGGACTTTCGTGACGAGTATTGAACGATACTTTTTATCACAATGAAAAAAATCTACTTCATCAAACTTAAAAAATATATTCGAATAGTTTAGATAATAGAACAGAAACAATATGCATAAAAAAGAATGACGTCACTGGATGGAATCTAATACTAATAATCCCTACATGAGTTATGGAGGTTTTTTGTCAATTAATTGCATTGAAATAATAATGCAAACACGTTTATTTATGGGTCATTTGTTTGTTTATGATCCATATCATTTCTATTTTATAATCCGTGGGATCGTCAAACATCATGCTCATTCTGGTGGCGCATCGTCAAAAATTACAGAAAGTCTCCTTGGAGCTTTCTTAATACTAGATTGAGCAATAGTGTATAATCTTTTGCGGTGAAAAATTCTACGGTTTTGAACAGTCGTAATTATCCCAGTACTTGATAAAACACCCCAAGTGTATTAAATAGCCAATGCTAAATCGTTTTCATGGGAATGTCTTTTTTGTAGATGATTTGTTATGAGCATATATGTTACAATACAGTATCTACATTTTCGTAAAGCTGTCTTGGCTACCTAGCCTTCCATAAGAATAATTTTAAAAATATTAAATTTAAGTTTTTAATTAAAAACTAATTTTCCAGAACAGTGGCTAGCATGAATATTGTTTTCAGCCTGAAACTAAGACATTCCTAACAATTTAGAGGGAAAAAAGTCTTCAAAATAGCCTTGCACTTCACTACAGTGGCGCACATGATTTTACTTTGGGGGAGAGGGGGGTCTGGGGCAAAACTTGCAAAAATTAGGTACAGAAAACTGTCTTTATCTATCCTTAGACGTTATGAAACCTAATGTTATAAAACATAGCTTTTTTAAAATTGATAAACATGTTTTACTGGGTTAATATACGTATTACATAATTTGAAATTAATTAATGTAAACCGAACCACAAAGTCTGCCATTGTTAATGGTTCCGAAAAACACTGGCTGTAATGACGACCGAACCATGTAACATCGGCCGCAATTGACAATCGCAATATAGCAGTATTTTATTTGTACCAAAATAGTTTTTTCCCCATCTGTGCCCCTGGGTCTCTGTTGCTGATGACTAAGTGCAGTATAGCAAATACATACTAAAAACTTTGATGAGTGAGATGAGTAGAACACTACACTTTGGCAGTTTATCGCTAATCAATAATCATGAAATACAAAACTATAAGCTTCCACGAATCACTACAATACAGGAAGAATAAGATATTTATTACCAAATTTAGTTTAGATAAAGATAGTATATTTATACTGAAAAAATATTGCAAAGTAATACAGATTATCACTTATCAGTAGAAAAAACCAAAATAAAATAAAACTAATTTTAAATCTTGATGTCAATATTGGGGCAGAGATTTCTCAGTACCGTACTGTCCCGGCCGCTGTGGACGTCTTATCGGCTTATACGCACCAATCTTATAACATTGTTGGGATTGTTTCGTGTTAAGTGAAGCGCGCTTTTATAGTTATTATAATTTCATTTTTTTACTACAGTATATTTAAGTGTATTATAGTTTTCTATTGCTTGTTTCCCTAACACCAAATCTAAGCCACAGAGCATCAGCCTCTGGCTAGCTCACAGTTTTTAGTTTTCTGTTGATTTTGTATGTTCAAAACTTTTATAGACCACTCCTGTTTGCCCCACTCCCCCACCACCCTGTACGCCCCTGCTACACTAAATGCTTGCCATCCAATTTCTTATAGTATGAATTGCTTAAAATATAGTTATAGTATACCTCATTTAAACGTTATAGTGTAAATGGTTGTTACCGTTGAATAAATAAATCTCAGACCTCAGTGCTAGAAGCTAAGCTAGGCCTGACACAGTGACACTGAGTAAGACTTTCTGGTGCAATAAGTTTACACTTTTTCTTCAAAGTCAATATCACGTGTTTCATTGATTTTATTTTCTCATCGCGTCTTTTTAAACGTTGTTTAACGATCTTTACTTCATGTCTAAGTCTTAGTATTGTCAGCGAAGCAGTATTTGTTTGTTTTACACTTTCTTGCTGTACACTTTTTGAACAAGGAGAAGGAGGACTGAAGGATGTGTCTGCTGAAGTGCCTGATATGTCTTGCTGTGCAATTCCAGGTTTAATGATTCTGCTTTCTTGGGGGGAAGATTTCTTCAGATGCGGAGGAAAATCAAATACTGTAGGTACAGCATCCTCTTTTAGCAGGGGGTAGCTAGCATTAGGCCGTAGTTGGTAGCTTTCTTGTGTGAAATGCTTACTACACAGTCTGCTGTACTTTGAAGGAGTGAATTTCTTTCTCTTCATTGACAAAACCCATTTCTTTAATAGGTCGGGATCATGATGTGGAAATCTGAAGCAAAAAGAAGAAAAACAATAGACCTGCGTACACAATAAAAAGGGGGGCCACCAGTTGACCGACAAGATACTTGGTCGTTTGGCCACTAGACCGTCTTTTTAAATTAAATAGATAAATACTGAAAACCAGTACATCGACAAGTTATTTCATCGTCAGTCCAGTTGACCGGCCTGTAAAACTAAATTATTATATACGAGAAAACAACTGGTCGTTAATCGACCCGACCGACATACCACTTGCTCGTCTTTTAGGTGGGGATGTGTTGAGTGGCAGCGCCAGCAGCTGTGGAGGGCGCTGCAGGCGTACCAACTTCTGTATCATGTAACGGCGGTTTTTATTCCGATTATTTTCAGCTATCACAATGCAGCGGACTAGTGAGGATTTTTTATTACGTGTAATTGTTTGTTTCTCAATTGATATTTTTTATATACAGTACAGTGAATTTAAATAGGCCTATATTAATTTACTTCAATTAAATAAATGTTTTACTTTGAACATTTCATTACAGCTAAGAAAGTGATGTCAATAGGATAGTTAAATTAGAATTCTCTGCGAAGAAATATAAAATGTTCAGATCATCTTCTATATAATTAATATGCCAACACGAAATTTGTCGGTTGAACTTTTCCACCGTTTCTTTACCGATTTTATCTATTGACGTCTCATTGGAAAGAGCGTGTAGCGTAGATTTGAAATCTGACCTTACATTTTTGAAAAAGTCCCTTGGAGTGCCATGTTCTCCTTTTTTGAAGAACATATTTGTTTACATTATTATAAGCTGCTGGATATTTTTTAATTGCTGTTAATATTTAAGCTGCAATTTGTAAATGATGGAAACAAAAAGTCATAGAACACCACCGAGTAGAGGAAATAAAGAGAATATTTTGTTAAGGATTTATTATCATTATTAGCCTAATAATGAAGAACATCTACAAGATTCAGATTCTTACAAACGATGAACGAGGATGTTATCCGAAGTGCTACAATTTTTAGTAGGAAACATGGACTTAACTTTGTGATCAATGCAGAGGAAAGTCCTCTAAGGCCAAATAAATCTGGTAGTCAATGACATTAATCTATGTTTCCATAAAAGTAAAGTGATTTTAGAATAATAGCTATAATAGGCTGAGATGACTTTCGAGTGGAATATTAGAATATAAAAAGACAAAATGCTGAAATAAAAGTAACTGTGTTATATTAAAGATCAGAATAGAATAGTAAACAGCATTTGATGATTAACATTTTGGTTGCTATGGTAACAATTGATTCATATGTTCATAACATTCTCCCCCACTTAATCACTGGAGAGCAAAGTCCTTAAGATAAGACGGAACTTTGCGTTGTCTGGAAGGACGAGTTAATTTATTTTCTTTTTATTCTGTGGCTTGAGGTCTGTCTAGATTTTCTTCCCTTAGAGTACCGTCTAGTTCTGTTGGATTGTTTGAATTTGATTCAGACTCTGGGTGGATCTCTTGTGGTGGTGCTTGACAGTCTATAATAGGTATCCGTCTTTCAGGCAAGAGTTCACCTGGGTAATAAAGACATATGGCAGTTTGGTACAGTCAAGAGAAAATTAGGTCAATACAATTACATTGTTGAATTGGATTCTGGACGAAGTTTAAAACGACACATAAATCAATTGATTTCGACTCTTGTATCCAAGAAGAAAGTTACATTTACAACACACAACGAACAAGATAGTTCTGTTAATATGTAGATCATTCTTCTTGAGACATTCCAAACATGCAATAAGGTTCTTCCTACACTCTTCGAGAGTTTCTCCGTGACAAATGATATCATCAAAGTATGCTTCTACCTTTGATAATCCGTTTAATAGTTGTGACAAAATTCGATTAAACTCAGAAGGGGCTGTTTTTATTCCGAAACTGAGACGATTCATGTTGAACATTCCTTTATGGGTTGATATTGTTTGAATTTACTTCCCTCTTCATCGACTTTTAGATGCAAATAAGCCTTATGAAGATCTAACTTACAGAAGTATCTTGATCCGCGGAGACTATGTAGGACATCATCAATGCGTCGAATGGGGTGGGGAGTCTCTTTGCAAATTGGTTTGCAGAAGTCTTTTTAAAAAATATCGCACCAAGAGATCAGCGCAGCAAGAAAGTTATTTTATTTTTTGATGGTGTAGCATTCCATGTGAATTTTAACATGATCAAAATGGCACTTGAAAATGATGTTGTCTTAGTAAAACTTCCACCGAACTTAACTCATTTCATGCAGCCATTGGATCTCACTGTTTTCAAACCACTGAAAACCGCATGGAACAAGTTAATGATTCAATGGAACAGGGCCAATCCAGGTACTCCTCTGCCAAGGGAAGAATTTTCTAAATGTATCAAAGTGTTGTGGGAAGAATATTTTCCACCAAGACTTCTAGTTTCTGGGTTTGAACACACAGGGTTGTTCCCACCAGATTCGTCCAAATTTCCAGAGGAGGCGTACAATCCCATAAAACTCCAAAGATTCAAGGACATTCAAGCTACAAAACAAAGCCCGGGAACTTCAGCTGCCAGAACACCCAGTTCAACTCCAATATCTGTGCCACCTGCCAGAACACCCAGTTCAACTCCAATATCTGTGCCACCTGCCAGAACACCCAGATCAACTCCAATATCTGTGACACCTGCCAGAACACCTAAGACTTTTACTCCAGTTAACTTCCCTGACTCTTCAGATCCAGATTCGCCAGAACCATTGAACCGTAATCCATCGGAAACTGAAATCTTAGCAAGGCCTCTTCCTCAAGATATACAGGGATGTTCGTTTTGGAAAGATGGTGAGAAAAATGAGCCAAGTTCATTTGAAAACTTCATTAGATTTAAATTGACCGAAACTGTCTCAAAATCAGCCCCTAAACCCATAGTAAAGTGGAAATAGATTTCCAAAAATAAAGGAGAAATTCTTACATCCAAAAAAGTAATGGAGAGGCTGAGGAGAGACCAAAAAGAGACTGAAGAGAAAAATACTAAAAAGATAGGAAAAACTAACAAAAAAAGAGTGAAAAAGAGCTTCAGCAAAAGCAGAAAAACCTACTTCAAGAAAGAAGAAAGGGCAAAATAGCCAAACCTAAAGAGAGTGATTCTTCGGGTACGGATTCCAGTACAAATTTTTGCTTGGATTCTGATGAAGGAGGCATTTCTCCCATACTGTCATCATCTGATGAAAGTCTCCCTGAGGAAATTGAGCCAACCAACATTGACCCCCGCCTTGAAATGTGTTATGCGGTATACTACGATTGTGACTGGCATGTTGGAAGAGTAATTGACTTCCCAGACGAAGGACTGTCCAAAGTAAAATTCCTCCAGAAGGTGCTACACAACTTCAAGTGGCCAGTACATGATGACATTCAAACTGTATCAAACAAGTTTGTGTTCTATGGTCCAATTCAATTACATGGAAATGGGCCGTTTACCATTTCGAGAGGACAACTAAATAAAATTAGACTCGTCTATAAAAAAGTGAAGAAAGGACTTTACAACTAGGGACTAGAAAGGTTTAATAATGGAACTTACCTCATGACTAAATGCTATAGGCCTAGGTAAAATACTACAATTACCCTGGGACTAATGTGTTGTTTTAATGCTATTAATTTAGCGTTGCTATGGCACAAATTTAAATATTCATTTTAATATATTTTTTAGATAAATTTAATCTTTTTTAGGCTTTAAACTTCTTTTTATAAGTCCTTTCTACTATTACCATCATTTATAACTCACTAAGTGTCCATTCAGTTGGCCCAGATGTATTTAGTCATAGGGCATTTTTTCTTAGTGGTAGATTTTGACACATTTTTTAACGAGTTTACAAATGTCCTCCAACAAGTAATTGAAATATTATTTTTTATTTTGATGTATTTGTTTCTTTAAAGATTACATATGATACGCAAAATATTTTGCATAGCATATGTAATCTTTTGTTTAAAAAAAACTCCAACCCCATGGTTCTAGTGCTTTTCTTTTATTTAATACTAGCTGGCCCGACAGACGTCGTCCTGTCCTAATGTGGTTTTATGTCAAATGCTCGTTCATTTCAAGATGAACTCGTTCGCATCGCTCAATCACGTCCTGGTTCAAGTTCGTTTACTACACTTACTGACCTTTAGGTTGGAGCTCGTTCGCTGCGCTCACTTTCCTTCAGGTTTAGCTCGTTTGCTACGCTAACTCGCCTCCAGGTTGAAGTTCGTTCGCTACGCTCACTCACCTTTGGTTTGCAAATTAGCTGCTGTCATAAATATAAACAAATAGTGCTGACCTCTGTTCATAAAACTATAAACTTTTTAATGCTATTTAAAATCACAGAATAAAATTAATTGTTTAGTTGAACCAGCTGTTAAGATTCTTTAATTCCATTTAAATTTAAGTACTCATAAGGTTAACATGGGAAACTTTAGAGCCACTGGGGTGGAGCCCTTTTGACGGATCTGCACCAAACTTCACACAAACCATCCTTGAATAATACTTAATAATGCCTGAAAGTTTCATTACAATCTGTCGAGCGGTTTCGGAGTCCATTACGTTCAAATATATATATATATATATATATACATACATACAAACTTCCTCTTTTATAGATATAGATTAATCAAAACAAATTTTACCAACCACCTTTTAGGTTTCGTTTTTCGAACGTTTATATCTTGGGAACCAATTTATGTATTTAAATGTAACAAAAATTAAAATTTTTAGAATTTTCTGGACTTGTTTCTTATTACAGTAGACTCTTGATAATTCGAAATTGGTGGGCCAAGCATATAAATTTGAATTATCAAGAGTTTTGAATTATCAAGAGTTCGATTTATCAGGAGAAAAATAAACCATTCGAATTACAGAGAGTTCATTTGTTTAATACATACAAAGGTACAGCACGTTACAATAAAACATCATACCGTTTTTAGTACACTTTTAAACAATCAACGGCATATTTTTTAGTAACTGTAGTTGCAAAGAAATCTGTTATTTAGCGCTATATATTTCGCCAATAGCTGAACTATCCGCTGTCGACAACAACGTTTGTGATCAAGATGTCGCGCAATCTAGAGACCGGATTGCCAACTTAGAAAACAAGTCAGCGAACTAACTCAGACTACTGCTCTAACTAAACAAACAAAACGTCCAATACTAGCCTACCATGGGAACAGGATGTACTGTACTGTATAGTTTCCTGTTATAACAGGAAGAGATCACTTCGAATTATAGAGTGTGTTTTGCCGACTAAACTTCGAATTACTGCGTGACTTTGATTTATAGAGTGTTTTTTCGACGAAACTTCGAATTACAGCATGACTTCGAATTATAGTGTTAACCGACGAAACTTCGAATTACTGAGTTACTTCGAATTATAGAGTGTTTTTCCGACGAAACTTCGAATTACTGCGTGTTAAAAATTGACGCACAGTGGGACAAGCCAAAAAACTGTGTTGAGACAGTGGGGTAAGCCAAAAATTCAATTTTTTTTTACATAAAAAATTACGGTTAATATTATTGAATATCCCTCCGAGTGTCCATAGTTTAGGCCTTAATGTCCACCTATTTTTGGCGCATTTGCAAGGTTTTATTAAAACGGATCTGAGAAGCTTAAAACAATGTTAATTCTACTGTTCTATATACCATTTTGTTTGGAAAATCATGGGCATCAATATCATACATAAAACATAAGGAATATTTGTTTCAAAAAAAATGTTTAGGTAAAAAAAATTATTTTGGAAAAATTGAAAAAAAATAAGTTTGCGCTCAATGAAATTGTATAAATTATAGGCCTATAAATATTTGAAAATAGCCACTTTGTTCTAAATTTTATGAGGATTACAAATAAGCCCATATAATAATATAAGGAAGTAGATTTGCAAATAAATAAGTTATGGGCAAAAAACAGATTTTAGTACATAGCGTTTAGCTAAGAATGCATAGCCTAACCATAGCTAGGAATCTGGCTGATAATTAACATCAATGTCACTACCAACTTCATCCGGATCGTCAATAAGTCCTTCAACATCACTAATATCATCTTCTAGTGCATTACGTATATCACCACTGTCCATTTTTACCACTAAAAACAACGATAAACGTACAAAAACACACAAGTCACCGATGTGAAATAACCAAGTTGTCTAAAACACGAACGTCAGCTGTTTGCTACAATTACGATCGGCTCAGAGAACATAAAGCGCTTAGAGACAGACCTCTGGAGAAAGCTTAGAATCTAACGAAAAGAACGATACCTAACTCGATCCAGTTCAATCCGATTCAGTCAGTCATAGAGCCTTCGCCGTAAACGATGTTCGTGTGTTGAAAAATTGACGCGTGACACTACACAAAGTGTGTCTTGAGTCGATTTTTCGACAGGTGACACTCGGAGGGTTAAATTATCAGAATTTTCCGTTTTTTTAGTACAACAACATATAATTATTTTAAATTAATCATACCCTTTAAACCTTTAATATAATTTTTTTGTCTCTTATTACCCCTTATGTCTCTTATTACCCCGGCTTCCCCCCTAATGAATATCAAGCCGACCTGAGTTACCACGATAACCCGTAGTGTTGGCTGACCAATGAGAACATAGCCTAGCCTAAGACAGGACGCGTTTATTTCACTGTGAATGTTATAAAATATACAACTGTGGTTGGCTGCACTTAACTTTGCGTCCTACACTCATTCGAATGAAACAACCGAATGAAAATATCGGTTTATCGAGTGTTTCATTCGATATATAACACCTATATAATAGTTAGGTTAACCTTACCTAACTAACCAAATGATATATCTAACAATCGATATATCGATCGATATTTTCATTCGAATGAGTGTAGGACGTAAAGTAAAGTGCAGCCCTAGTTTAAGTTAACCCTAGCCTACCAACAAAATGAAAATAACAAACATGCTGTAACGAGTACAGGAATTAACTACTCAGTATTCAGACACTTTATTTTATAATCTAGTAGTTTAGTTTTAACTTAAGTAGGCCTACTTACTTGTGAAACGAAATACCAGTGCCTTTCTGGGCTCTGTTGGTGCAATTAAACGCGGAACAAGACACGACCATTTTCCATTTTAAGCCCGAATCGAACCCAATCATTACCACAACACAAGCGTAAAGCCGTAAAATAACTTTTTTTCTTGCCGAAAAGGTGGTCTGGATACTTTTACCCATGAGACCTCAATGTTCTCTATGGTTGTCCATTAGTAAACACAATCATATTTTCCAGATAATTCAATGGTGAATAGATTTTTGTTAGTAAGAAACATAGATGGTATATCGTGGTGCATGTTGTTTTTGTTAATTAAAAGTAGGATTTGGGATTCTAAAGATTTGACGGATTTCATGAAATAAAATAACAATTATTGAAATTGAAGACATATTGATAAATTGTAATCATCTATGAAATATAAATTTAACATCCAACATTTGGTGGCCTTTACAAAGGCCGTTTTTTATACTCGACGGCAAAGTTCCGCTTAAGCCTTCTTTTAGCTGTTTTTAACATTGGATACGTGAATTATCATTTGTTTCGCATTTGTTATAGAATACTGCATGTAGATATGTATGAAATAAAATAAAAATATAATGTTTTTTTTTACACACTCTGTATATGTAAATTAAGAAATCGAAGTTGTTATTTACCACTATAAACACAGGACTTGCCATTGGCATCATAGCTCAATGGCTAAGACATAAAATCATCATCTAGGAGGCCTGGGGTCGAAACCCGGTCAAGATACACACTTTTTATCCATAACTAAATAAACAGAAATAGTTTAATAATAAACAAAGGTACCAAATAAGGTTACGTCATTGGCAAGAGTTAGCGGGAAAAGTATACGATACGTAGTGTAGGATTATTGATTTACCGAAAAAGCTACCCTTAACTACCCTAACCCCCACTCCAAAATCCCCCCGATCACCGCCACCCCTACTCCCTGTATAGATGTTGTATAAATGTTGTATAGATGTTGTATAAATATTAACAAGCAACCATTAGTTTAAAATATTAGTTAGTTAAAGGCCTTTAAGTTATAGTTAGTTAAAAAACATTAGTCAGTTAAAACATACATTCGTTAAAACCATAAACATCAGCAGTTAAATGATGGCTAAATAACAGTGATCAAGGGGAAAATAGCAGTTTATTTACATTTAGGCAGTAAATCTATTTCCCATAAGAGCCCATGTTAGACCCAAGGTACCTGCCCTAACTACTATCGTTTTCTTAGCATAAACTACATTTTGGAATCCAGACAGAAAAAGCAAAACTTATACAGTTAAATTGAATACCGTACGCCTGTAATAAATAAGGTGCAACACCAACGATAACTAATTTGTAAATTACAATCATGTTGTAGTACGTAAAAATTATTCTTGTTGCTACCAACGGTTCTAAGGGAAATCAGTACCAAAAACCAACGTTTACAGACTGTAGTACATCCGACCAACTGTATGCGTTAATCAAGTCCCGAGGATATTGATCTCTTGGTTTTGGATTTTCTCGTAAAAGGTTATTGGCAGTCAAAGTTATTTACCATTAATTGCTTCTTTTATAAACAACTTTTAATGTAAACTTATCGGTGTCAGTTAAAAAAAAGAAACAACCTTATACAAACAACTGTTTTGTTATTTAACAGATTATACGTATTCTCTAAACAATGATTGGTATATAGGCTATCCTTTATAATTAGAGGGGAATGTGATAAAAATCACACAACGTTGGGTTTTTGGACGTTTGTAATTTTATTTCTTAAGTAGGTAGGCCGTGTATCTTAGGAAAAAGTACCGGCATCAAGGATCGTCGTCAAAAAGGTTGTTATGAATAATTGGCTAGGCGTACGTACCCAAGAGATGGACTATTTGCCTATTGGCTGTATGGTCCAGCGATTGCATCACACAGTGAGTAGGAACTTAAAAGAAAACACTATGCGTGTCGTGTTTGTAATAATTTAGACTAAGTTAAACTTAATAAAATTTAGTTCAGGTTTGTACCTTTATTTACTGCTAAGTTAAGCCTATATTAAATATACTTATAGCAAGACAAATGATTAAGCTGAAGAATGTTCTAACAATAAAATTTTAATGAACTAGGAATAATATTACAATGATGAATGGGTTTGATATTTAAATGAACACAGATAAGTTAAGTTACAGGGTCGCCATCTTTGGTTCAGGATTTATAGTCAATGGTTTAGCCTAGCTCAGTAAAAACAGAACAATGAGTTTACAATTTAGTTTAATTACATCAATCTTCTCAGGGAGGGGAACTCGGCTGGCTAAAAAGATCTTCAAATATTTAAATTTATGAAATAAACTATGTCAATTATTATGAAAAATGGGATAATTTTGATATTGCTCTTAGGCTTGGATTGATAAATTAAATAAGTCCAACAATGAATAGACTAGGTGAAAAATTTATCAAAGTTGAATTTAGTTCTCTTGTTCAAATTGTTTTTCTGGGATTATTCTTGATGAAAATAAAGTAGTTTTTGAATTCAAATAGGTTCGATGATCAGAAAGTAAATAAAATAGGTCTATTAAGTTGAATTTCTTGAAGGTAGGCTAAGCCTATACAAAATGGAGAGTTCTCACCAGATCTTCAGTAATAGTGTCCAATTTATATAAATCTTGAGGTGGCAGTGAGGCAGTACAAATTTGGAATGAAAAAAAATATATAAAAGCTAAACTGTTTTTCTGTTGTTAAATTAGGTAATGTTAAGTTAAATAATTTTGATCGCTGACTTTATAAATATTAGGGATTATACCCTCACTGATTAAGGTGTTGATGCTGCCATGTCCCAATAGAGAAGGAGGAAAATTTTAATTTTACACAGGATGATCAGAGTTCATTGTTGAAGCCAGCTGTCTTCTTTCTTCATCACTTGCACATGCACTAATAATCAGGCTTTTGGATATTAATTTAATGTTGGGGTTTTAGAAATAATTTAGACTATATTAATAATTTTGGATAAAAGTATTATTGCAACTATGGACTTAATTACAGGTTGTTATTAACAATAATATGTGTTGAATTTATACAATATATTTTAAAATGTGATGATGGTTTCTGAGGGGTGATTAAAGAATAATAGAATTTAAATTTGCTATGAATTTTCTGACAATTTATTTAAATAGGCTATGGCGAATTTTGGTACAATAAAAGAAGTATAATTATATAACTAAAGAATGAATGTAGTGAATGGTCTAAAAATGACATGTAACATTGCAAACTATTAACTATATAATATATAGTCAATGGTAGGAACAGAAAGTGACACATTGGAAAATCGAGTTTAGCATCATCCGTAAACCTCTGTTACAATCACCTACTGCAGTTATGATTTTTTTACTTTACACAACCGCCATTGAAGCGCCGTCACTGAGTGGAAATCTTGTTTCTAAGCTATTGGTGACGATCGTTATTAAATTTAAGTTTCCCACCCGTATACAACACACTATTCAAGGTCTTCTTTCTTGTTATCAAAACTCAAGAACAATTTCATACACTAAAGAATTTCTGGTTCCTGACCTGGATGATACCTAGTTATAATTAATTTCATTTACGGTTACACTATTACACTATATTATTGAACTTGCGATTAATTAAATCCGTTATGTAAGAAAAACGTTTTTAATCTCCCTTCGTTGAGATTCGCTTTCAAAACGCGATCGAAAATGGTTGCGGTATTTGTAAACATATCATCAGTGACAGCTAGAAAAAATAATCTTGATCCGAACAGCTGTTCGTTATTTCATAGATGATTATGTGATAAAAATTGGACGAAAACTTTAAAAAATCGCACAAAACTGCATTTTTGAATGTCCGTAATTTTATTTAAAAAGTAGTGAGACCATATTTTAATGGCTAAAGACACTCTCACCAATCCAGTAAATACATTAAAACGACTTGGATCTTGATAGGTACTCTTCTCGTTTTCCTGGAGAAGATTGCGTAAAATGCCATCTTGAGTGTTGCAGACAGACAGACAGAAATTTATATGAGACTTGTTTCGGCTTCTTTAATGTATAAAACGTAAAAATAACCTAAAAATTTATGATTCTGAGCAATGTACAGACAAAACTCTAATTTTATTTATATAGATATTAAAAGATTTCAAAAACGCTACTTAAAAATCAAAAGAAAGAAAACTCTTTGTTCCCCTTGTGAGTGGATTAGTGGAACAAGTAGGTAGTAATGTCTGATGTACACCCAGTATTAACATTATTTTTCTGAAATGTGAAACAATAGCACACTTCGAGGCTGGGAATTACATGTGGTGACCATCCTAGTTGAACCTAGTCTTGAACCTTGTACCATAACAAAACAAGAATTTGATTCATGTCTCATAAAATCACGTCCATCCTCCATCTAAAAAAAGAACAGTTCTGTTAAATTCTGTTTATTATTTTAAAAGTTGATGATGGTTTGTGTTATGATATTACGGCAGTGGAGTACAGTAATATAACAGTTCAAGTCACGTGGACATTGGTCAAGCCAGACATGATGACTGTTCAGTGGTAAGACGGTCAGATTGCCGCCATTGCCAGTGTGAAATCAACAATTTGCACCTTATCTGAGTGAGACATACACTGAGCTACAAAATTCACTGTAACTTGTAAGGTAAAGTAATAGGACAATGTAATAATAACATGTTTTATTAATGTAAAACATATAAAAGTATGTAAAACCAACAATAATTTGTTTAGACAGAGTTCCTATGACTTTAGAAGGTACATACAAATAATCTTGGAAAAACTATTACACTTCAAAAGTTTTGACTAATCAATGCCCAAAATCCAGCCAAAATGAATAAATAAAAAATTAATAACATATTTTGACTGTGATCCCGAAATATTCAAGCAATCATAACATATAGCAACAAACACACACACAAACGATCACATTGCATAGAGTATTACAGTATTTATATGGTAAAATATTGCTTACATGTGATATGTTACCTATGCTACTGACTGGTTCAAGCAATCACTATTAAGAGAGGCAAGAGATTAAGGCAAGGCTAATGAACCTAGCCTTCTACATTTTGACTCATGTACAAAATTGTCTCGCAATATGCCAGCTTAATATTTTGAAAAAAGTCTTGTGAGAGAATAGTTCTACCATTTAATAACTTAAATGTAAACTGAATTAAACTACTATAGGTTATTTCTTACTGGGGGAATTCAAATAGATTAAAGTGTATCGTAAGGGAGTGACTAAATATTTGTATTTTATTTTAAAAAAGTAGTTCTTCTATGAATATTTGAAGGATTGCTATAAATTAAACATGTTAAATATTTAAAAAAAACTGTGGACAAAGTTGTAATTGTCTCTAGCACTAACTTTTGAATAAACTGATAATATCACCTGTTACAAATATTCATTCTATATTCAATAATTTTACAGAAAAAATTCCAGGTTTTAAATGTGATATTGTCGGTGACTAACAACAGTTAAGTACTAATTGCAGTATTTACACAATGCAGTTTTCACAACAGATAAATTCAAGAACAGGCCAACTTAACACAAGTATAGCACTTCTAAATATCACGATTCTAAAGCACTATAACATTGCAAATGTGAAATTTTGGAAACTCTATGGTCTTAAATAATTTCATTTATGTTTCCGGTGTTTTGAGGTCTGCTTCCCATTGGCACCTGTAACAAAATATTGCAATTTTACTTTGTACACAAAGTGCAGCTAAGATATATCATATAAAAACAACTCGGGGAAATCTTTGATACAATGACAAAATCCACAAACTTGCAAGAATTTGGAAAGTTGTTATGTATTCAAAACAACTAATTACCTAAGTTTGTTTTTGAAATACCCGAGCAATGCAGTAGTTTGGTTTGACATCCATTCTGCATTGGTCAACATTGTTCTATTGCTGAAAATGTTTTCATTTTTGTCAGTTTTTAGTTTCTAATACAGTAGTATTGCAAAACTCTGATACAATATCTGGACAACAACATTTATTTCCCTTTCCCCACATGTCAATTTCACAACATAAATGTTTGTTAGAGCTGGGCCAATACGAGTGGCCTAAGGTGTTATTGAGTCATTGTATGCATGTCTTTGAAATGTCACCAGCTGTCTATTATAACCACACAATCACCCACACTTTCACCATGAGGCCGAACACAGCTCTTATAATCCGTTCACAAAATCTATGCAATGTAAGGAGCTAGGGTTTTGTTGGGTCCCCCAAAACATTTTTTAGTGTAATCTATCAAATGTTAGCTGTTGTTTCAAAGTTAGGTTGAGGTGGAGGGTATGGAATTGCTTCCCCTCAAAACTGCCTAAATTTTGTGAATGAGTACTACAGTACGCATGTGTTTTTGTATAGAATAAATTGTCAAAACATTCTTTGCTACCACGTATTTTTAAACAATCTATCTCCATAAAACTCATTAATAGAGAAGCAAATAACATCTTACGAGAAACCATATTTTGACTAGTTATTTTAAAACTTGCTTTATCGTTTAAGATAGATTAGTTGCCGTGTTCAGTAGGCGACATTGTGTAGTGACAGGTTGATTTGAATAACAGTATGAGAGTGAAGCCCGTGGGTATACAGCTAGTTATTTAATAAAGGATGTTAGGTTTTAAAATACAAATCTATGGAACATTCGTCACACTGTAGGCTACAAACATCCTGAGTTTTGTTTTAACTACCTTTTAAAAAAGCAAGTGTATCAATCAAGTTTAATAAATTACATGTGGTGCTTGTTTGGAATTGGGTGAATAAAATTAGGTCATAGGAATAGTGTAGGCCTAGTTGTTATCATCAAGATATCATTTGAAATCACAATAGGAATATGTGATCTCACCTTATTGGGAGCTTTGACTGATAAATTAAGAGTTTTAAACAATACAAATTCTCCTAGTTATGCCAAACAAACCACAAGACTCATTATAGATTGATAGTTGTTGGAGAAAAATTGTGAAATGAAAAACGAGAATTTAGAGAAAACATAAATTCTACCCAAAAGCAACATTAGATTGATATCAAACCAAACACATGTTATATACCCATCTCCGTGAGTGAAAACAACAAACCTTGCTACATTTTAATTTAAAACGGAAGCCAATTAAACACAACTGTAAGTAACACTTGGGTGGGTTTGTGTCGAGTGTGCTCTTGTTGAAAGGACAAATTCTTTTTTCCCAGATGGCAGAACAGATTTTTTCTCCCCTGCATAACACAATGGCATCTTAATTTGTTATGCATAATGATTCACAAGTAAAATTGTAAAATTATCTTTTAAGTGAGACATTGGGAATTGTATTGAATTCATAATTAATTGGTTGATTAAGATAATCAAACATGCCTGAGTTAATTATTTGAAAATTTAATCAGTTGTTGGTAAATTAATTACAAAACAAAACAAAATAAATAAAACAATTTTAAACTAATAGTTCTTATAAATTTAATTTTGTCTTTCAAATTTTCAAACTTTGAACCAAACGAAGCAAAAAATAACACTATTTAGTTTGAGATTAATACTACCAAATTGAAGAAACAAAACAAATTGAATAATAAATTCCAACATATTTACTAACTGTATAATACAGTATCATAGCCTCAAAAAGTCTACAAAACTTTTGCCAAAGTTCAATCAATTTAGAACAAATTACTCATCTTCTTATATGAAATTATAGCCAAAGAAACGAATGAATGTAGTTTACTCAGTTATGCTTTTAGGTCAAAGAGAATTACAGTATAAACAAAACTTTGGATATTTGCAAAATGTTGTCTGATAAACGTACTTGTAAGATAGACAAATGCCCTGAATGGCTTATTTGTTTTACTAATGCTACAAACTCCAGAACTCCCCCTGTGACTAAAGCACTTTCTGTACATATTACAAAACTGTGTACAGTGTAGGCCAGACGTACAAGAGCGTAACGATAACACCGGAACATATTACACAACTGCCCTAACAATGACCGCTTTAGCTCTTCAGGAAATGACAACACTGCAACATTGCAGGGAAAGTGTTAGGGTTACCAGGAATAGCTATGATGAGATGAGTGAAATCAAATGTCGGTTTTGCTGACCCGACTTGTGTAATCTAAGGTGAAAGTCAGGGTTAGTCAATTGATCCGAATGGACTGCAACATAATATTTTGTTGAATGTTAAAGATTTTTTGTGTGAAATTGGAAAAAATATCAAAAGAATGTTTTGTTTAGCCTCCACTAACATGTATCTTTATCATATTATATGTTTGACTAATTATTAAACGATTTTAATGAATATTTTACAATGTCTGTTCACTGTGACTACCGATTTTTGCTTTTACAGTTTTTAATGGTTTCAAAATTCTTTTAATCAGAACTGAATAGTTAAAGGACGTGGAAGAACTGTTGTTATTATAGCGTATTTACACTATCATGGATTGAGGAGATTACAAATATTGTTGTCTTCGATCCAATGTAAAGAAAAATACCTTACCAAGCATTTCTATTTTTACATGTTTCAAATCTATTTTACACGTTCACTACTAAGTGTTCGTAAACTGCTCATACAGAGTAATGTGACGACTGGTAGTAAACCTGTCAAGTAATATATTTTCAAATCTTTGTCAAAGTTTCCAAATTAGAGGAACTTGTGGCTATCTCTAAATACAAACCCCATTTCCTATAATTTTTTTTAAGTTAACAAAGTGAATCTAGCTTTTCAAAGAGTTTTAAAATACTAAAATTTAAGATTAAAAAGATTGCAATCAATTTATTAACCTTAAAATTCAAATTTTCAATTTTGAATAAACTATAATGGTTCAAAAAATTTCATAATCTTAACCAGTAATAAAGCTGTAATCCCATCAAACACTTGCAAAACTCTGTCCTTACAATACTGTTAATTCCAGAGTTTGTATTATAATTCTAACATTACAATTCAGAACCCAAAACACCATAGCGTGCCTGGAATATACCTAACAATGTCATAGAATGGAGCACTTGACCCAGTATCATCAGTTAGTGGCCTTCACCAGACTCATATCAAGGATGACTTGTTGTCACCAAGTAAGGCTGTGGCTCCAAACGCTCAAACAATGTCAAATGTTTATATTCGTCAAAGTTGTTACTATGATGATACTGACTTCTTTTAACACCAAGAAATTTGGCTACAAAGATTTTTTCTATTTCTTCATTGCTAAGTATCAAGCAAAAAATGATTTTACATTGTTGTTTTCAGTTGAGTGAGTGAGAGTACACCTTTGCATGATTATTTTTTTGAAAATTTAAGTAATTTGTGCTACCTAAATTCAAATGTATTATATTTAATTTTTTTGTACAAAATTTTGCACAGAATGATAATGGTTTTCTTCACCCCATAGATAACTTGTGAGTCTATGCTTACGCTACCATATGGTAAGATTTGTGTATGATTAGTTAACCTTAATTTTCTACCACTCTTTGAGAAGTAATTTTGGTAAATAGCAATCTGGTATTAACTAAAGATTAAACTCAACTTGACAACTTGAAAAGCTATTTTAAATGTAAACACTGCAAAGCAACAACCATTTTATCAATTTTAATCCGTCAAAACTAAATTTGAAAAATTATACAAAAACCCCAAAATGAGTTGTGTTGAAGTTTTCATACTTCTAGTGAATTGTTTATGGACCACAAGTCATTCTCCACTAAAGAAAAAAACAGGTTTTAGTTGGAGGATTCCATCCGATAAACATCCTGTTTTCATGAGCAAGGTCATCCAACCCACAGATTGATTAATGTTATTGTCTCCTCCCCGTCATTCAATCTCCCTATCACATAAATCTGCGTTTGGGAAATACCCGCTTGTATATCGGTCCAATACCTGTGTTAACAAAAAATGGTCAACTGGTATGGTAGGTTCAATGTTTACTTCTAAAGACTAAATAATGCTTTTTAATCATTGGTTTTTTAGATGTAAGAACAAATAGTCACAATTTAAGAATTATTATGCACATAAATATTTAATTGACAATAGCTAATTTTGGATTGAAATAGCTAATATTTGACAATAGCCACAAGCTCCGTTAAAATAGTTTTTCACATTTTATGTTTACTGCTGTGTTAGAGCAAGTGCAAAGCCTTACAAAAAAATAACTTAAGAAGAATAGTCTAGTTTCAGCCAAGGGAAAAATCTTTTGTAAATTTACTTCACGCCTTAATATTATTAAGTGGTAAAAATTTGTGAAAAGTGACAGTTTAATTAGTGACATTTAATAACACGATAAAACACACACAAAGCATTGAGGAGTGGAGAATGAAGTAGTGTGAACATTTAAGCACACAAAAACATAGTTTCACTGGAGAAAGTTTCAGTATAATTTAAACAGGCAATTTGGAGGAGCTAAAAGAAATGCATACAAAATACTAATTTTGTGCTTTTGTCGTACATTTTGTTGTTTTGACAGAAAAAAAAACAAGATCCAGTAAAGGAAAGATACGTTTAGTTGGAGGCTCATTGATTTTTCATTTTTAATATTTACTGATCTTGACAAGTAAAATTTTGCTTCACAAGTTCACTATTACTCATTCAACATAGAGTTGTAGGCTTGCAGCTAATTACTAAACCGTCTGCATGTTGGAACACAGGTGTTTTACACAAATTACCATATTATCATTTCACCAAATCTTCTCTTGTTAGCATGCTCACTGCTAACAGATATGGAAATTGTGAATTAATGTTTTATAATCAGTGACATAACATTCTCACATTGGGCTACACTTTGTTTTACAAATTACAGTTTTTACTTGCATTAAACATTTGCATATTTCGTTTTTGTTGTTGTTGCTTAAGACAAATAAGTAGGATTACTCACTTAATAGCACTACAAGATGAATGTATTTGCGTGAAACCTTAATAGGAACCATCAATTTTAACAGGTTTCACCTAGTAATCATAAACATTTAACTATAAACTGTTAATGTATAAACATTGTAACTGCAATTCATAATATTCAACCTCTGTCATCTCAGTGACATTAGTTTTGGTGATCGTGTAACCTGGCATCTCAGACGCAGTGATATTGCAAGAGTCTTGTCTAGAAAACATTTCAAAATTATTTATCCATCAAACAAAAAAAAGCAAAAATGTTCTGGAAAATCTTGAGTTTTCAGTTCTTGGCATGTTTAATTCCTATCAAAGTTTTTCCAATATCAAAATTATATTTTTTTCTGATATTCCGAGTTAATGAAGATTAAAACTCCTGGGTCACTTTGCCCGATGTTTAGGATTGTTATTTTAACCTGAATGACTCTTCATGCATTACCTTCAACTCAGCTTAAAAAGTGATTTTTCATATCAGTGAAGGTATTTTAATGTCTGTACTGCCATCACAAATACTGAATTTAAATGTTAAGAAATCATAAACAGAGTTTAATTCAACCAAATCCCTGAGTAAATTCAAGAATGTAAAGTATCCAGTGTAAGTATCACTATTGTTGAATTTAAAAATTAATTTGATTCATGAAGCATTCAATGAATAACACTTTCCATCACAGTTTACTTTCACAATGTGCTACCACAACCACAACAGTGTTAAGGGTGAATTGCTTGCAGGCATGACAGTTACAAGCGCCACAATTGGCTATGTTATCGACTGAAGTGGTTACGTCAAGTGAAATGTTCCATTTATTTGAAGCCCACTTAACCTTCACCTGTGCTCCATGCCATTCGCATGCCATTGACTACGGTATGCTTACTCTGTAGAAAATGTGACAAACATTTATGGCATAGGAACTTCTTCCCCTTTCCGGCGTTTTGGCCTCTCTAAAATCACAGTTACTTTTAAGCTAACAGCTGACTACTAAGCTTAATACAAGAATATTTACTTGCTTACTTAGTGTTTAAAGAAATTTTGCAACAAGAAATTAATAAATGTAAGCACAGCTAATAAAGTGACAAATATTTAGGTTACTAACCATATCTTCACGGTTCGAGCATTAGTCGTTGATAACTATGTCAAAGCATATGGATTGATTATCACTATAAGGTCAGGATGCAAAAATGTCTTCATACATCGGGTAGACTCGTCAAAATATCACATAAAAGTTAAAGGAATTTATATAAATATCAACAACTAACATTCAAACTGCAGAAAAGGAAAAGGTTATTAACCTAGATTGTTCTACGAACCACAGTTCAAGAGGCAATCATAATGAAGAAAAATACAAAACATAGCTTATGTAATTAAAGCTAATTTTTAAATAGGCTACAATTTGGTGGGTATGAATTTAAAAAAAAAAAAAAAATGGAAAACACACAATAAAAATTGAAAAAAATCAAATTAAAGTTTCAAAAATATTTATGACAATCACAGGAGCTAAATAAATCAATAACTTAGAGGTTAGGAAAAGAACTATGATAAGGACGGGAACAATAGAAAAACACAGAAGATAAAATCCAACACTGATATTACAGATCCATCACAACTATATGTAACACACACAAAACTTCTGATGGCAAAAACATTCATCCTCACTCTAACACTGGTATTTGAAGTAATGTCTCCCTCAACCAAGTTAAAACTAGATAAATAAAATAAATTTATAGTTATAATGATAAAAACATTTGCTTGATTTTAGTTTCAAATTTAATTAGGCCTAATATGTTTTTTGGTGGGTTTTTTTCTTAAATAAGTACAACACAACTAAGCCCTAAAAGATTCATGCATTGGTCAAACTTATTACATGTAAATATGTTCATCAGCTATTAAAACTTTGAATGTCTCAAGGAATGCCTGTTTCCAACAAGGAAAAAGCAGTTTAAAATAAGCCAAAATGTTAAAAAATATTGTTTTAAAGGTACCAACTTAAACCCGTGTTTTATTCAAGACAATTGGTGACCATTCTGGTCATCAGCTTGAATACAAAGTATTCAATTGCATGATGAAAGGATCAACCTAAGTATCAAAACGTGTAATGTTTTAATGTTTAGCTGAGTAGCTTGGTCGTCCATTAGTGTTCAGCAGCCTTCAAGGCCAATTCATAATAACTCCTCTGGTAATCATCTAACGTCATGCAAACCTATTAATTTTCTATACTACTGAGATTTTAATGTTTTCTATTAACAATGTTCCCGGTCAATTACAATTTTTCGCAAGAACTTCCCTGACATCTGCTAACTTGCAGTAAAACAAAGAACTATCAAAATCAGTCTGAGCGTCAATTCACTGGCATTTTAACATTGGCTAGCCACTGAAGATCGGTTGATTGGACTTGTTTTTAAATTACAATGTTAGTGGTAAAAGAGGTCGCTCATCTGTGGATCAAATTAATGGGAATTTTCTTAGCCCAGGGATAAGTATATAAGCCTCAAATCCTGTTTTAGTGATTTAATGGCAATTTCAATCTGTTCTGAGAGCTTGGTGACTTTGGTGGAATTTGATAGATCTTAAACCTTTCACTTATCTTACAGGGTGATCTGAGCATGTTATTTATATGATTATAACACAAAAAGTAGAAAACAAAGCAATCCACAAAATTTTAAACCTTAAAAGAACTCAATCATCCCTTTGCAATTGTGGATTTCAAAACGGTCAAAATCAAAGCAAGGTGTTGCAAAAATGTTAAGTTTCAACGTATTTTTTAACGAACCCCAATAATATTCCATTAAACAATCAACTAGCTCAGGATAATGTGATTTTGGTATGATGAGAAAGTATTAACCTTTTGTTTGATAATAGCCTAGTTTGTAATCCAAAAACAGTAAAACGCTACCTAATTATAAGCTGAGAAGTGGGTGTATATTTATCCACACCAAATGGGCTCTGTTTCTGTTATAAACAACGGAGGCAGCTAAATCAAGTGTGCTGTCAGAGATATAAAACATCCGTAGTCAACTAAAAACTAGTACAAGCTACTCAATAATGTAAATTAGAGTAATTTTAATCAAATGTTAACATTTTTGACACTATTTAAATGGGTCAAGAAAAACTCTAAATAATTGAGAAACCTCACAAACTGTTTTTCCATTCCCAATTTACTACACTATTCTGCTCTAAGATTGCTCGGAAGTACAACTGTAATATATTTTGGTTTGAAATTGAGTTATTTATTTGTTTCCACCATGATAAATTACAGCCCATCCTAACTAAATATAGAACGAAAAAATTAAGGACACTGAGTGTTTAGCTCAATGAAGTATTATGTTATTCTTGTAGAATGTTAGTATCATTCCATCTTACAAGATTTTTATTGTTTAACTTATTTTAGGCAGAAAATTACACACCATTTATTTCACACAACAAACAAATTTAACTATCATTAGTTTTTAAAATTAATAGGCCTAATTTATTAGGTAGGGCCTACATATTAAAAAACATTTGACTAGAAATTTTAACACTAAAAATATCTAGTGATAGATGCATCATTTGTAACATATCCAAACCGGAAAAGGGTATGTATTTCATTTGTTAAAAAATACTGCTTAGACAAACCAACAATAACAATTAGTAAACAAAGATCCTCCGCTATCTATCGGACATTGCCTAGAACCTTTGCCCTTCAGAAGATAATAGTGATAACTGATATTGAAACTTACCCCACACTACAGAGTTAATCTTCTCTCCGAGGAAGTAGAAACCGCAAGCCAGCAGAACACAACCGACGATAAACGCGGCTCTCTGCGGCAAGTTTAGAACGTTGAAAACGTTGTAAACCCAGAACCCACTCTGGTAATGGACGTAGTGCATCCTGTAAAACATACGTGTTGTCTTTAAACTATTTATAATCCTGACAATTAGACATTAAAAATAAAATATTTTATTTTAATCAACTACTATTTCACTTACCCATGCAAAATTAGTTTTGGGTATTAATTAGCCCATTGGCCTATGAATATTTATGTGCACTGCAGTCACTGAGTTAGCCTATTAAAATTAGCCAAAGTGCAGGGTTTTCTTTATAATGAATCCACAAAACATTTATTTTTGAGTTAACAAGATAGCAAGTTATGTTTATTTAGCCTATTCAAAATAAAATTGCCTTCAACAATGATTATTTTTTAATTTAATAAAAACTAAAATTACCTAAATATTTTTTTCTGAAAGCAGGACAATTTTACCTAAAAAGCCAATATATATATATATATATATATTTGCACCTAACATGTATTAGAATGTGATGCCCTACGTAAAAATACTAAAAAAATAAAAATAGATTAATAAATAAAAATGTTACCTATGTTTTTGCAAAGTACTACAAATTGGAAAAACGTGATATTTTTAAAACTAGCTAAAATGCAGGGCTTTCTTTAGAAATTTATAAAACATTTCTTTTTGAAGTTACAGCGTAGCAAGTTACCGGTATGTTTATTTAATCAAAATAAAATTGCCTTCAACAATTATTATATTTACATGTAATAAACAGTAAAAAAATATTTTTGTCTAAAAAATAACATTAAAAATAAATAATTTTTTTAAAATCATGATAATTTTATTTGCCAAAAAGAGCCTGTATATATATTCTTTTGCATCTAACATGTATTTAGAATACAATTCCCTACATGTAAATATACAAAACAATAGAATGGCAAATTTGAATTTCAATAACAAAATTGAATGTTTGTGGAATAAGAAACTTTTGTCAACTAGCACTCAGAATTGCTTTATTTTATCATAAGTGTTATAAGACTAGTCTCAAAATACTGGATTGTTTGCACGTTTAGGATAGAAATAATCAATATATTAATAACACTAGTTAAAAAGTTTAGAATTGAAAATAACAGGCCTTCACAGTTTATAATGCAGATTGATTTAATATTTGTCTCTTGTTGTTTAGCCCAATGAAACCACCACTACAAACTTTTACAAAATATGACCTGACAATGTTCTAAGATGCCAGAATATTTAATTAGGTACTTTTAAATTGAAACTAACAAAACAATAATCTTCAGTCAAAAAGAATAAGATATAGTACTGTACTAAAATGAAAACACTGAAAAACAACACGAGACTCACCATGATATATATGTCAGTTGGAAGACAATAAGAGCCGTAAGCGCCTTCGACCTAGAGGGGTATTTGCGGTAAGTGAGCAGCAGCTCAAGCAGTGTGAAGAACATGATGTTGGTATGCATGATGTGGTTCAGCCACGTTGGAAAATACGGGTCCAACTTGCTGGGAAGAACCAACTCTCTGTCCACTGCATACAGACCCCAGAATGTGACTCCGACAAACTGTGAAAAATGAAGAAATGTATTTGTACAAGCCAAATAGGAGATTTTTATTCAAGCCTTTCTACTGTGGAATTGGAAAAAAAATTAAGTGACTCTTAATTAGATAAATAAGGCTTCCACGGTTAAAGTAGGGAGTCAAATCTGGATCTTGGGAGATGACCACATTGTTGGATGAAAATACTTGAGTTGTAGCTATGTGGAAGGCTATGTATTGTGTGTTGAATGTGGATTGACTGTCAATGAAGGTAATCAAGCGGATTTAAAGTATTTCCTGGGCTGATCCATGTTTGACAATGGCATCTCGCCAAAACATTTAACACGATTGTTACTCTTGGAAAAGCATGACATGTATTGTAAAACTCCCATATAGTGTAGCTTGCCCAAAAGGTAGATTACTGCACCTTCAAAACATCAACCAATATTTTTGCCACTTCAACAGTCCAAGAGTAAAACACCTTTTGAAGAAAATGGTGTAGATTATTTTTTATTTACTGACCGGCCAAAACAGTAGGGGCCTATTTCACGAGACAAGGACACAAAAAAAACTAAACTATCCTTTGGATAAATTAAAGATTTCATTATAGACTACTGTTTAAGAATGAAAATATTACATTTTTTAAAGATAGGTCTAATAGCTTAACATGTTTTAAAACCATTAACTGCTCATTTTATTAGCACCCATAACCTTGAAAACTGAAATTAAATGTATTTTGGAAACTGGAATAAAAAGTGCTCTGCGGTTACATGTTTCATTATCATTATGGGGACGCAACCTTATGCATTTAAATCCAAATAAGAGTGAAGGGTAGAATGTTGTGAGATGATCTGTGTAGCTTTGTTACTGACTAAGATCAGCTGCTATTTCATCAGTCAGAATCATCATTATTTAAATCCCAATGAACAGGGACTGCTAGGTTCTGTTTCGAACCATCAAAAAGCTAGGCCTATTGACTTTTCTCAGGATCGAACCGGCGACCTTCAATTAATCAACCATCAATACAACAAAATATTACTAAACTAATAATGTAATTTCACCCTTGATTGATTAGCAAACAAAAGCTTTTAGCTTTACGACAATAACCTAGAGAGCCATTACTTGTTTGGTAACTACAAGCTCAATTAGCATTGGACATGTTGATGATGTAGGCCTAATTATGAAAAGATCAGAGACCACAACCATTAGAGATAATTAGGCAACATTCAAACACAGATAACTTCAAGTTAATACAGCCTATGCAGTTAACGTCATTTACTTACTTTACTTTATACGTAATTTGGTATCAGGGATACAAAGATCTTCCATTAATGATTTGGTCTTATATTTTCCTGACCGATAATAATTTAAATTCTACTATTTCAAGGTATTACTGTGTAGCCTACATAGTTGTAAAATTGTAGACCCAGATTAAGATTAGAACTGACATAATGTTCTAGCAACTATAGGTCGGCCGCTTAGAAAACGACCTCCTCCAGCATTGGTTTAGCATTACCTAGCGCACAGGTCGTTTTCTAAGCGGCCGAACTATAGTTTACTACCTAATGAAAATTTCATATAAAATTTATCTCAAGTTATTAGGTCTATATACTAAATAATAGGGCTACAGTAACAACACTTACCATGGCTACTGGAAATGCAAGACTAGAATGAATAAAGTCTTTGACTTTGACTAATGAGGAATGGCTGGGTTCACTGATGAACAAGTCAATAAATGTACAGATTATAAAGTAAAGCGACTGCATCACCTGAAACAAACACATTGTCAAAAAAATTATCTTAATTATGAAAACATTTTTTTTTTTCAATGTGGTAAGAATGAGTAGGCCTATACATTATTAAGTAAGTTAGCTTTATTTTCAAACATGTTTAATGAGATTTTTTTTAATTAGGCTAATGAATTTGAATGATTGTAATGGTAATTGGATTTAATCAGATTTTCTTTCATAAAATGCAATCATTTTAAAGAGTAGGCTACCTCTCAGTAACGCATTAAGGGATTTGGGGAAAATTCCATACTTATATAATACTGGACTCTTATCTCAAGTGTTGGCAGCCGTTGCAGCTCGCAACATTGTTATGAGTTGTGCTCAACGCCTAATGGAAACGGTGTCTGCTGCCAACATTGTAGTGAGCAGAGTTTGTGCATTCGCACTACCTGCTCTGTGAGGGCTTTTGGACGCTATATTGAGGCCATTCCAAGTCAAGATTGTGGAATAGACAAATTGTTAAGGTTCATTTTATTGTATTAAAAGTGAGACAATGTTGTGGGATGTAGGCCTATCAAACAACAAACACAAAAACTGGAGTTAAGGTATGCCATTGGTGGAACTGCTGGCGCTTTGAATCGCTCATCTAGTGCGGTTGAAAAGAAAATTATCTGAGATCGCAAAAAAGTTACTTCTAATACACTATCGCGGTCGGTTTCTACGTCTTAAGTTAAATTAATAAATTGGTAATATGCACCACACTAGCCATTACAACAAAACCAGCAGCAGCGGTCTCTTTACTCTCCATTGCACTGATACGTGTAGGCCTAGTGTAGAGAGTAAAGACAGTGCTCGCAGTGAGGAGAGGTTGGAGGGAAATTATTGAATGGAAACAGCGCCCCAACATTGTTGATGAAATTTGGTATAAACAAGTAAATGACCTGACGTTTATTAACCCTAGCAGTGGCCAATGCTAGAAGTGGGGAATGGCCAACCCATTTTGGCGATTTTGCAGACCTTTTTTTAAAAATCTGTCAAAATTACAAATATGGACTCAACCTATCAATGTTTGTATTCATTTTATTCAGAAAAAGCAGGAGAATCTGAATAGCCTATATAAATAAAAATTGAATCTGAGTTGGTAACTTTTTTGCAAAATAAAAAAAATCATAAAAAATTCAAAAATTCTGATTGAAATTTCAAAAGTAAAGTCTTGTTATTATTACAGTATAATTTTTAGACTAAAACCATTATATACATTTTGTTGTAAATTCAATTCCCTACATAGAAATGTATAACACATGGGGGAAATATTTTTTTTACAAATGTTATATGTAAGAAAATGAAGAAAATTCAAATTTTGTTGCATAAGACGAATAATTAGTAACTCGGAGATATCTCATGTAAGGTAATTAGTGATAATAATATAGTACACATAAGTTTATTCTTTTAGGTTATAAACTAAGGAATACAAATATGTCACATTGTAGGCAGTAAAAAAATTTTGATTACCCGTTTATGATACAAAAAACCAAAAATTTACCGTTTACATAGAAAAAAATTCAAAGACATTTTGTAAAAAATTTTTGTACAGATTTTTGTAGGCCAAACATATTATAAAAATGTTAGTACATTCAATTCTCTTTATAGAAATGTATAACACATGCGGGAAATATTTTTATTTATATGTGTTGTGTAAGAAAATACGAAAAATCGCAAGGTTTGTCACGTAAGACGAATAATTAGTAACTCGGAGATAACTCACGTAAGGTAATTAGTGATAATAATATAGTACACATATTCTTGTAAGTTATAAACTAAGGAATACAAATATGTCACATTGTAGGCAGTAAAAAATTGTTGATTACCCGTTTATGATACAAAAAAAAATTAAATTTTACCGTTTATGTAGGTACAAAGAAATTCAGATATTAGACTTTCCAGTTTATATTCATGCATAAAGATTACTGCTAGGCCTAAAACACAAAAACATTACTAACAAAAACACTACATAACTACAAAATCCTAAATTAGAATGATTCCCAAGATATTCGCCGAACAATATTTACTTTCAAAACGTAAGTCAGCTGATCCGCACAAAACAAACAGTGTAACTTGGTCAGATGACAATTGTCTTTTGTTGCTGACAGAACACAGAAATTACAGTGAGGAGGGCTGCCATTTCTCAACACTAAATTATTCTACGTTTCCTACACTACAAAAGGATATTATATTTGAATAGTTATAAATATTCCATTATAGGCTATATATATTTCGACTTTAGAAATGGTCCTTGCGGGACCATTGGCCATTTGTTAATTTTTGTAAAATTATGCGTTTTCTAAAAATCATATGTTCTTTGCTATCGATGTATTGATAAAATAATCTATGCCAAAATATTCAGCAACCCTACTGCTATCTAGTGGTATAACTCGCATCCAGATAGGGAACAAACTAACCTCGCTATGATTTTCTAAACTTTACGTGTTTAGCGCTTACGCAACACTACAAGTGGAAGTAGATTCGCGCGTAAATTTTCATTCAAATTTAAATTGCAATTACGTTGACATATTGATGCTAGAAGGTTCGTTTATATAATAAAATGAAAGTTTAGAATGCCATCTTTCAAATGGTATATGAATTATCCACTTTAAAGATAATTAGGCTGCACTTTACTTGACGTCCTACACTCATTCGATTGGTTTTTTCGATTCAATATTTTCATTCGATATATCATTTGGTTAGTTGGGTTAGGTTAACCTTACCTAACTAACCAAACGATATATCGAATGAAGCAATCGATTAATCGATATATCGATCGATATTTTCGTTCAAATGAGTGTAGGACGTCAAGTAAAGTGCAGCCGATAATTATCAATTAGTTTTTAGCGCTAAAAAATGTTTGGACATAAATGGTCCCGGCGGGACCATGGCCATTCTAAGGGTGCACGGTGAAATGGTCCCGCCAGGACCATTGGCCACTTCTAGGGTTAAAATGAGTCCGCGAACCAGCATGATCGGACTAGGCTATGGGAATGGAGGTTTATGGGATAAAAATTGGGTTTTCCGATTTTTGACTCTAAAAACATAGGCCTACAGAATTTTGTAAACGTAAGTTATCAAGGTCTAATTTAAAACGTACTAACATAGGCAAATTGAAAACTTACAGCATCCCAAAATGTCAGAAACTTGAATTTCCCACCAAACGCAGACATGATTGGAAACACTTCTTTGGGCACAACTACAAACGTGTAATCATAATAAACACTGTATGAAAACTGGATGGCTGCGATAAAATGGAAAATAGTGACTAGCCATTTGTAAAATCCATTTTTCCTTGCCGAATCCATCACTGAACGACAATGCAAAACCGGCTTCCAAAGGTCTTATGTTATCACCTAAAACTGATTGGCTTGATGGTTAGGTTCTGCGATGTTGATTAGAACGGGATAAAAATAATTCACTTCCGATGTAACTTATTTATACAGGGTAATATTTAAATTACGTTTAAAATCACTTCACAGTACAGATCCAAGCCGAATCCCAGCGATTAATAGCAGAACACTCAACTTGAACATATCAAAATTCAAAACACACTTCAGTTTAAACACTCCAATCCAACTCCAGACTACGATACGATGAGCACAGTAGAATGAGAATGAAAATCTGCAGATGCAGAAGAATGCAAATCGCTGCACAGTCACAGTGTTGTGTTGTAAACAGGAAAACAGGAGACAGGACGAGCGACGAGATGTTTTGCTATGGCTCTGCTGTTTGCTTACAATTTGCAACAACAACAACAAAATGAAATATCATAAACATTTTAACAACTTCTTGTTTCCCTCTCCGACAAATCTACAACCTTATTGGTTCTTCTGGCGTCCAAGCTCAAAAAGTCCACGAATAGAGTGGAGTTATAGATTTAAAATCTTTAATTCAGCCCAGCTGACTGTCAGCTGTTGCTTGGTAAATCAAAGGCATATAATTGGATAAATATAAAGGGGTTTTTCCCCATTAGTTATATACACGAAAGTTAGTTCGTTAAAAAAAAATAACTTCCACTACAGCTTACTTAATATGGATTTTTTTAAATTAAAGTCAATTTAATATAGATAATTACAAGACAAATAAATCCAAATTTACAGATATTACTAAAAATGTTGATTCTTTCAATAAATATGTTGGATGCCTGCTCCATCTTCGAAAATTTTTAGAAATATGGATTGAATACATACTTGAATTAATGTTAAACACATGTTATACAAAAATGTATACAAAAACTTCAAGTGTAATCAATGTTGTACCATTGATTACACATAATAAATTGTACATACATCAATATCGTATAGTGTAACATTGCATAAAATAATGTGTATCTGAAAAATATTTGAAATTAAATATATCAGGTCCATAATCGTTTCCAAAATACAGGAAAGCTACCAAATTTATAGACACGTAACCAAATATGAACCTAACAGCCTGCTCAACATGAAAGAAGTCTTCAACAAGTCTATCATTTTTACCTCCGTCAGTGTCTTTGATTTTAAAACATGATCGGGGACACACGGAGTTATATCCGGGTGTTGAACAATTAGACAAACATTGTGTTTTGTATATATATAATAATACCAAAATGTATTTAAGCCATTTGTAATCAATAAATTGTAAATAAAATCATAATAAAACTCTTACTTTGCAAAATTTATAAAATACATAGCAAACATAAACAACACGATCGGTGGCACATGGAGTTTTTTTACGTAATTTGACACATTACACAAACAACATTTTTGTATACATGTTAATACTAAAACGTATAAAAAACTATGTATAATAAATAAAACTATTAATGGAATCAATAAAAACTCATACTTTAGATATATAAAAACATTTTTTTTTTAAATATGCTCGCAAGACCGAGACCCCATCACACGGGCAAGCATACTCGCCGCCAACACCGTCACGAACATTCTCGCCCGTGTATGGGGGGGGGGCTTTTAGAATTTAGAATGACTAGAAACACTGACTGGTTCCGCGAATACTTGAGCCAATACCTTCAAACAGTTTCCCTCTTCCTGATGGCTTCCAGACCATCCAGGCAGTGGGGCTTAAAGCCCCCCACACACTACCAGACCAGACCTCCAGACCAGACCGTCTGGTCTGGCGTCTGGCACTTGTCTTATCGTGTGTGGGGCTGTCTGCAGACCGATTTTCTCGGAACCCTCAGACCACAGACGGTCTGAGGTTCCCCCACCACTATTTTTGTCTGGTCTGTGAGTGTGTAGCGTAGCGCTGTCTGTCAGACGGCCGACCATCGTGACAATCTTCATCCATTTGTTGGAGTTCTCACCACGGTCTCTCAATTACGAATTAGGACCGTCTGGTCTGGGAGTGTGTAGAGCCGTCCAAGACGGTCTGGTTGCGGCCAGACGGTCTGGTCTGGCGTCTGGCACTTGTCTTATCGTGTGTGGGGCTGTCTGCAGACCGATTTTCTCGGACCAGACGGTCTGCGTGTCTGATGGTTGAACCCTCAGACCACAGACGGTCTGAGGTCCCCCCACCACTATTTTTGTCTGGTCTGGGAGTGTGTAGGGCTCCGTGTTTAGCCCGGACGTGTTTGACGCGGACACCCTCAAAATGGTGTTTCACCCGGACGGACGCTTCAGAAATCCCCGCGCCACGGCTAGGTGGGTAATTCGTCGCTTTTCGCCCCCATTATATCGAGTAAGGACGCTCGGTGGCGTTTCCCTCCCAACACAGGGAATTATTACTATCGTAACCAGAACTGGTGGCCCGTAGCTACAAGTGGTAGAAAATACTGTTTTTTTATTTATTATTAATTCTATTCGGATTTCAAAAACTAAACGTTATTACTACCTGTATTGCAAGCACGGAATCTATAATGTTATAAATTACAATTACAAATATTACTTTTAGCAATAACTTTTAAATATAACAATAAAATAAAGGACATTGAAAGTAAAGCCTTCAAATTTTAGTATTATATTAAATATTGCACATACTTATTAACAATGAACCTGAGCATATTCCATAACAATTAGAGAATGATTACTTAGGTGGCTATTTTAAAATCAAAATTTAAACTTCAATTTTAGTCCTGCCCCATGGATAACAAGACTGTTTCATGATTCTTAGCCTGAATTTTTTTATACTGCTTTACTGCTGTACCGGATTTTTTAAATTATGACACAACTATATATTAATGACGTAAGCCGATTCTTTGCGTCAAAATTGTGGGCAACTGGGAAGTTGTAGAACGACCGGAGAGGGCTCAAATTAAAGGTCTCGATCCCGTAACGGCGGGAAAAATACCGGTAGTGAAATTCCAAAACTTTTTTGATCGTGATTTATCTTTAAGCCAGTATGCAAAATTACATCTGGATTACTCCATTTGCTAGTCAATTCTGCAACATACTGTATACTATAAAACCAGGGTTAAGGGTACCTATATTAATTAAGACTTTTTAGGGTTATAGAATGTTGAAGTAAATTATTTTACTGTGAAACTTTTCAAATTTGTGTATTTTTAACGTTTAACATGAAATAACCACGTTGACTAAATAATTAACGATTCAAGATGGAAAACTTCTGCTTTGTTTATATTTCAAAACACATGTTCTAGATTTATTCTACACCTTCTTTGTAAATTAACTAACATTTTAAATTTTGAGATTTATTGTATATCAATTTTGTATATAATTGTATATAATAGGGCCTATAATTTTTATTTATTGTATATAATCAATATTTGGTATGAAGTGAAATAACCTCAACGGCTACTCTTACAAAATAACCTGGGAATAAAGATGAAATAGGTTTGATCAGGAAATAAATTTCTTAACTAAGTGAGTTGTGCCGATTTTAAATTCAAAGATTTAAAATCCGCGCCAGGCAATGGACAAGTCAGTCCAACATGACGTAACGCGGAAGGATACGAACTGGAAGACCGTTGGGAGCCGTGCCGTGTGCAAACGTCTCGTCGTCACTCGTGGCTCAGTAATCGCGTAGTCAACATGTGAAGTCGCGTTTTGTCGCTGGTGTAGGACGAATTTATTAATATCTTAATTCGTAGCTCGGAAATTAGCGTTCGGGCGGAAATTGTACGTGCATCAAACGATCGCAATTGTCAAAATTTCGCCGAATTGCATTTGGGGGTGTGTTTTATTAGTATTAAGTCGAGACAGTTGAGATGCCGGATTGATTGTTCGCGTTCGTGATGAAAATTCGTACATGCATCATATCGATAGCAAATGTCAGTTTCTAGCGAATCGCGGGTCGTCGTGACGGTATTTTCAATTGAATCATTAAACGCCAGCTCGAAAAAACAAGAATTAATAAGTCCTACACCAGAAAAAACCCTGTCGTGATGTTCCGCTCGGTCAGACAAAAAGTCACAAAACCACGAGTCAGTTTTTAAAGGTTCGGTACGCGTGAATCTTCGTCGGAATGAATGTTAATGTGTCGACATGTGTACGTAAGTAAATGTTTGTGTCATTTGTGTTTCAGTATTAAAATAGTCTTGCCAATCTGCCACATTTTTTCACATGTACCACTCGTTTTACAAGTTATGAATCATGTTTTGTTTGGTCTGAGATTTTCATGTTTCATTTGGTCTACTTAGAGCACATGGTCACGATTCAGGATAAAATGTTTTATTAAATTTGGTCATGTCATACAAAGAATTTAAGTTATAATAGTGAACCTAGTCAAATGAAAATTATTTATTAAATTGAATTGAAATGGTATATTAATTTAAAGAGCAATGTTTATCTGTGATATTATTATTTTTGTATTCTATGTAAAGTCAGATTCTATCATCGTCAGTATTATTATTTAAAACGTTTGAATTTCATGTGTAGAATAATTTTTGAACAGTATTACATTTTTAAATAGTGAGAGTTTGATTGTGTAACGTAAATGGGGGTAACAGAGTGCTCGGTCGAAGGCTAGGGTTGATAAAGGGTCATGAGGATAGACTCCCATTAAATTCATAAATATTAAATATTAAATAAAAAATTATCAAATAATCGACTCAGCAGTCGATTGGCCCCGTTGCACTGATCAGCAAGGAGTGATGTAGATCACAAACCTACATAATAGTCCCTGTTTGATTAAATTGTAAACTGGCCAGTTTGATAATTACGAACATCTTTGGGGAGTCTGGTGATCCAAAACAAATAAATAAAATCATCAAGGCTAGGTTTTCCCGAGACTTTGCAGTTTTAAAAATGAACAAACCGCCAATTTGAACGTTCATCTTACAATCAACTCTCTCACTCTCTCTTTCAAAATATTGTTAAATTGTGCACAAAAAAGGTTATTACATTGTTTATATTTGTTACTTGTATCACAGCTCAATTCAACTCATTATATAGCATTTTTACAAATCACCATCTTTTCATTATCCTGTGTTTCAGCTGTTAGTATCATTAGTATAAAACTGGTAAAGTAAAGAAGTAAATGGCGTAACTGAAAGAGGTATACAAAGTATTCACAATGAGTGTTGATGATCACATTTTGTAAATATATTTTGACAGTGCAATTTTTATAAGCTCAGTTCATAATATTTAATATTAAATTGGTGAATTCATGAGCAATCGGCTTAACCGAATCCAGTATATACAAACATCTTGAAGTCATATTTTGATAAATAGTTTCTGAACAAACAGTTTCATAAATATTTTCAATCAATATTTTAATATGTTATTATTT